TTAAAATGTTTTCATGTATCCAAACAAAATTTCAGCATTACTTTTACCATTCAAAAATCTTGTAATTGACGATCTTTGTTTTTTGTTCAAAGGTAGACTGTCATTCAAGCAGAATTTTAAACGAGAAAAAGGGAAAACGCTTTGGTATAAAACTTTTTGTACTCTGTGACTGTGACAGGGGCCCTGGTGTTGGTATTTTTGTATACAGGGGAAGTAAAACATTGAAAGATCCCAAAATTTTTTGGGGTATCTCAGGCTAGTAAAAAACATGATGGCCCCTTATTTTGGGTAAGGGGCAACTTTTATACCGAAAACTGGTACACAAGCCCATTACTCATATTTCATGTGATGAACAAGACAGTTGGAGGGCACAGTGCTTTTTCAAATCGAAAACATTGCCCAGGCTCAATGCAGGTGCTCGTGTGGACGTGCAGGTGTTTCTGCCAATGACTCATGGCACACGGGGGCTGACAAACAGAGTCACATGTTGAAACCATTCACGAATGAAGTGCAAGTAGGGAAAATTTGATCGAGTGACTAATGAAGTATTCGAAAACCAGTGAAGTGTTTGATTATACACAAAATGCGCTTGGTTGAAAATGGACATCGATGGTTTTGTTGATTGTGTTCGTAGAGTTCAAGGGGTACATGAAACTTTTTTTCCATCTCATGGACTTTCAATGCTCAATGCATATAATATGTACCAAATAAAGACTGGCAACAGACCACCATAGGGTGAATTTTTTTTGTTGTTGTCAACAACTCAAAATGAGTCCGGGAAAAAGAACACCTGCTATACAACAAAGTCTCAAATTACCAGGTTTTCCCCAAACATTTGGGGAGGAAGGGATATTTCATAATACAGTTCCTTCAGCTCAGAAGAAATTTATAGAAGAGTCATCATGTGCACAAACAAAACGACGGCAACAAAGAGCAAAGACACTGGGTTTGGTTGAGGAATTTAAGGTCCCTCTGTGCAGGTGCCTTGGGTTTCAAGGATTTCCAAAAGCTCCAGCAGTTCTAAAACCATGTCCGTGATTGTAAATATGAAAATATATGAAGAAATTAGTATTATACAAGATTTGTGCATGTTATTGTAATAAAAAAACGTGGTAAAAAATAAAGATAAAACTTTAGTGCGGTTATTGTGTTCAATACAGTGATTTATTATAACATTTATACAGTATTGGTCCTCGGGCCCCAAATTTTAAGGAATAGAAAAAAATTGGGGAAAAAAAAGAAAAAAAAACAAAAAAACCCCTAAATAAAAAGCGGTATGGGAATTCGTCCCCCAAACATTTTGGACAAATTTTTTGGCACTGACTCGGTAAGTACGATCAGAATTTTTTTTTTGTCTTATTTCCCTTTACAAAAATTATTTATTTATTTATTATCACAGGCCCTTCCCCCCAAGGGGGGGGTGGCCCGAAAAAAAAAAAAACTTTCACCCCTCATTCCTCCATCCTTTCTTTCCCGAAGGGTGCTTTACACTCAGTTTTTAAAACTGAACATTAACACCCCTCCTGTAGATGCAGGCACTGCATTCCCACTCCAGGACTCAATCCGGCTGTCGGTTCCCGAACCCCTTTATAAAGTTACTTTGCTACACTCCAACAGACGTCAGATTAAAAACCTTTTTCTCCATTCACCCTTCAAACCGCTCACGCAGCCCGCTGGGGAATCCAACCCCGCACAAAAACCTCCTTTCCCCCTCTCCCAAACCCCCCCTAGGCCGACCCCTACCCCCCCTTCCCCCTAAAGACTGAACACTCTTGAAGTCATTCTTTTCGCTGCATTCTCTCCACATATCCAAACCACCTCAACAACCTTCCTCAGCCCCTGGAAACAGTTTTGGTAATCCCCCACCCCTCCCCAACTTTCCCAAAATACGAATTTTTGCATAATATTCACACCAACATTGTCCTCAGACAGACATTCCCCTGCCCCCACCTTCTCCTGTGCAAAAATTCTCACCCCTGCTTCACACCCATATAAGAGCATTGGAAAAAATATACTTCATACATTCCCCTCTTTGCCTCCAAGGGAAAAATTCTTTTTTCCCCCAGTCCTAAGTGCACCACCACTCTTTTCCCCCATCAATTCTATGATTCACCTCATCTTTCATAGACCCATCCACGACACGTCCACCCCCAAAAATCCGAATACATTCACCCCTCCAACTCTCTCCCCCCCCCCCCAATCGATATTTAAAACTTTCTCACCTAATCTTTTGTTATCCCCATAACCTTACTCTTTTCAGTATTCACCTTTAATTTCTTTTTTTTGCACACCCTACCAAATCATCCCCCAACTCTGCAACTTCTCATCAAATTCCCAAGGACAGGCTCAGCAAAGAGCAGCTGTGACAACTCCCACTTTGTGTGTGTTCTTTATCTTTTTTAACCACGCTCTTGCCAAAGACCCTCGCATTTACTTCTCTTCAAAACCCCATTATTTAAATATTTCAACCAAGGTGACATCACACACCCTTTTCTAAGGCCCCACTTTCATGGGAATAATTCCCTCTTCCTACATACTCTAACTTGAGCCTCACTACTCTAAAAAAATCTTCATGCTTTCAGTAACTACCCCTACACAAAACACTTGCAACTCTGCCACATTGCCCCCCTATCCACCCTTTTATGCCTTTCCAAATCCATAAATGCCCCCAAAAACCCTTTAGCCTTTTAAATACTGTTCACTTATATTTTTACGTAAACACCTGGCCCCCACACCCCCCACCTTTCCTAAAGCCCCTTTTTCATCTCTTCCTATTCTCCCTCTTACTCTTTAATTTTTTCAATAATAACTCTGTGAGAATGGTTTGAAAAACCCCCAAGTTGAAGTTTTTAGAAAATTTTGCAGCATATGGGAACTTTATTCAGGAAAGTTTCGCCATACGTGGCTTTATCGTCCAATACAAAAGGAAGGCTAAGGAGAAGGGGGATGAATTAATCAGTCCCTCAGCCTGGGTCGATGTGTTCAGTCCCTCAATCTCAAGATTGCATAAGTGTCTCAATCTTCAATAATAATTACCATACCTTTCCCGGTATCTCAGCAACTTATCCCCCCATAAATTTTTGCCTCTCTTTTATCCCCTTTCCTTTATACAAAGGAAAAATAGCATGCTCTCTGCCAATTTCCCCGGTCCTTCCCCCTTCCCTACATTTTTTAAAAAAATTGCACCAACCACTCCAAAACTAATCCCCCCCGTTTTAAAATTTCACTTTATCCATCAATCCCGGCTGCCTTACCCCTTTCATTTTACCTACCCTCACGAACTTCCCCCACCTCACAATGGCCTTCCTCACTCCTACAAGTGTTATTCCTCCTTGTCCATACACGAAATCACGCTTCCCTATCTTCATAAATTTAACAAATTCCCAAAAAATTCCCTCCATTTCCCAAAAACCTCTAACCTTTCCCTTTTTAAAAACCCTCCTCTCCTATTTTTTTAAATGAAAATCCATTTGTTCTCTAGGCTTTTTAACTTGTTAACTCACTCCCAAAAATTTTTTTTTTCAACAAATTTTTTTGATAACATCTCACCCACTCTTCATTTTCTTCCCCTTTTTTTCATTGCTTTTACCAACTTTAACCTCTCTCTTTTTCTCCAATTTTCTCTTCCCCCCCTTGCATCACTTCACTTTGTAAAAAAAATTTTCATTGCAAATTTTTTCCATTTCTCTCTTTACTCATCATTCCCCCAAACGCCCTCTTTCCCCCCCGCCCCACTTTCCTGTAACCACAAACTTCTGCTGAACACTCTAACACTACATTTTTAAACCTACCCCATACCTCTTCGACCCCATTGCCTATGCTCCATTAGCCCATCTAACCTCCAATAGCTGTTTATATCTTACCCTAACTGCCTTTCTCTTTTAGTTTATAAACCCTTCACCTCTCTCTTCCCTGATGCTTCTATTCCCCTTGTATCCCATCTACCTTTTACTCTCAGTGTAGCTCAACTAGAAATGATCTGATATATCTGTGGCCCCTCTAAAAACCCTGTACATCCTGAAGTCTACTCAACAGTCTTTTATCTACCAATACATAATCCAACAAACTATGTCATTTTGCCCTACATCATATCTTGTATACTTATTTATCCTCTTTTTCTTAAAATATGTTTACCTATAACTAAACCCCTTTCTATACAAAGTTCAATCAAAGGGTTTCCCATTATCATTTACACCTGGCACCCCAAACTTACCTACCACACCTCTCAAAAAGGGTTTCTCCTACTTTAGCATTCAGGTCCCCTACCACAATTACTCTCTCACTTGTCAAAGGCCCCTATACATTCATTTAACATCTCCCCAAAATCTCTCTCTCTCCTCTGCATTCCTCTCTTCTCCAGGTGCATACACGCTTATTATGACCCACTTCTCGCATCCACCTTTATTTTAAATCCACATAATTCTTGAATTTACACATTCATATTCTCTTTTCTCCTTCCATAACTGATCATTGAACATTACTGCTACCCCTTCCTTTGCTCTAACTCTCTCAGATACTCCAGATTTAATCCCATTTATTTCCCCCCACTGAAACTCCCCTACCCCCTTCAGCTTTGTTTCGCTTAGGGCCAGGACATCCAACTTCTTTTCATTCATAACATCAGCAATCATCTGTTTCTTGTCATCCGCACTACATCCACACACATTTAAGCATCCCAGTTTTATAAAGTTTTTCTTCTTCTCTTTTTTGGTAAATGTCTACAGGAGAAGGGGTTACTAGCCCATTGCTCCCGGCAAAAATATGCTCTTTAATTCTGTAAGAAAAAATAATTTTTTTTTTTTTTTCAAAATTTCTTGGACACTGGAGCACCACTTCAGATTTTGGCCTTGGACCCTGAAGGGGTTAATTGCATTTCAATTAATTTAAATGAGAAAAATTGTCTCTGCAAATGAGCAAATCCAGTTGCGAGCAAGGTCATGGAACGGATTAAACTCGCAGGTAGAGGTTCCATTGTATTTAAATTATTAAACATTACAGACCTTTAATATATGTCCACGGGCAGCCTCTGTTGGAATAGCCATGAATATTTCTCCATCAAAGCTGCTACGAAGATCCCAGTCGAGATTCTCTGGGCGACTAGTTTCTCCTATTACTATCACCTGCTTGTCTTTGTGTTTACTTTTTAAATCTGAAATATAGAGAGCTTTCTATACCTTTATCCATCACAAAACAAAATTATGGACACCTCATTCAGAGATATATCTTAAAAATACTTTAACTACAAAATTAGAAACAGTGTATGATGACTTGTAGAGGTTATCTCTCCTCTCAGAAAATTACAATGAATAATGCACATGTACAACTAAAGTATTTCATACATGAAAATTAGAATAAGAACTGGAAAAAAGCGAGAAAAAGAAAAAGTACCAATATTATGAACAAACAGCACAACAGCGAAAAGTTGTCCGTCCCCAGAGACTAAGCTCTCGTAAGTCGTTGATAAACTTACTTGCATATAGTGCTCGAGATCCTTCTGTAATGTCCAGTACATAATTTAGATGGAATGGAATGTGAGTTTTAATTATTCATGCATATGTTGGAAAAATTTAAGCATAACAAGAGAGAATATTAGCAGTGTATATCACTAAGAAGTGCTGCCAAATAAGAAACAAGTGATAAAAACAAAATCAGTGTTTAGTCTACATAATGATGGGTGGTGTGTCCCCCTTGTTTATCTTATGGAAAGTGAGATCTTTGTCTCATATCTCTCTCACAAGTATTGTATTCCAGCCAAGAGACAGACAAAATGTTGTGAGCAGCTTGAGCAAACTTGACAACAAGCCATACAGAGGTCTGGCTAAGAGAAAGTTAACATGGTCTCTTGTAACAAATTATGTTAAAAATGTTAATAAGTAGGAAATAAGCCACTATAAAACTGAGTTGTGCTACTGGAATGAAAGCCCTGGGGGTAAGAAATGCAGGTGAATAACCAAGAGAGAAAGACCAAGAATGTGAGTAGTCACAGATGTTATGACCTTTAATAGGAAGAATAATGAATTTGAATGGAGCTAGAAAATGACATGAATAACTAGAATTTGTATATAAAATTGGAAATGAAAAATGGCATCAATACATAGCTGTAGGAGAAACTAAAATTAATTCAAGTAACAAAGCCAGACTTGAGTCCTGGACATGGGAAGTAAAATGCCCGCGCTTTAACCCTTTGACTGTTTCGGTCATATATATACGTCTTACGAGCCACTGTGTTTGACGTATATACGTATACTAAAAAATTCTAGTGGGTTCAACTCAAGCAGAACAAAGCTGGTAGGCCCACATGTGAGAGAATGGGTCTGTGTGGTAAGTGTGCACCATATAAAAAAAATCCTGCCACACGCAGTGCATAATGAGAAAAAAAAACTCCGACCGTTTTTTTAATTAAAATGCCGACTTTGTGGTCTATTTTCGTATAGTATTTATGGTTGTATTCCCATTTTCTGGGTCTCATTTGATAGAATGGAAAACATATTATAGAAATAGAGGTGATTTTGAATGGTTTTACTATGAAAAGAACCTGGAAATGGAGCTCAAAATAGGGGAAATGTTTGATTTTTGCCAATGTTCAAAAGTAAACAAATGATGTCATTTTCTAATAAATGTCCAACTAACCATTCTAATATACAGTCATGAATGGGTTGACCTTATTTTTACAATTATTACAATATTGCAGTAGTCTACATAACAGTAAATCTTCTATTTTTTGTTTGAATAAAATTCAAAATAGAAAGCAAGAGTAATATCAGAGGGGCCTGGAGACGTGAATGATGAACAAAGAAAATGTTATTTTAGAGCCAGGAATGTCTGCATTGTTCATTCTGAACTTTATTTTGAAATTGTCATGTTTTTTAATTTTCATGAAATTGGCCAAATTGCAAATTTCTGACCATGTTATTGAGTAGTTGAAATTGGTAAATGGGCAGTTTTCTTGAACTCAATTGATAGAAAAAATCGAGTTCTAAAGAAATAGCTATGAGTTTGGTCGACTGGGACAACGAAATTAACCGAAAATAGGGCTGAAAGTGGGCGAAATTGCCGATTCGTAAATATCGCCGAGGTCACTAACTTCGCAAGAGCGTAATTCCATAAGTTTTTCATCAAATTTCGTACTTTTGGTGTCATTACCATTGGGAAAAAATTCTCTATAGATTCATAAGAAATTTTTTTTTTTTTTAAATTTTTGCGACACCAGGAGAGACCTCAGGATTAGGGATTGCGACAGCCAAGGGGTTAAAGGAAGGGTTTGGGATATTGGCTGTTTGGAGTAACACTTAAACTGTCGAATCTGGGCGCCTCTGCAAAGACAGTGATTATGTGTGGATGATGGTGAAAATGTTACTTTCTTTTTTGGGTCACCCTGCCTTGGTATGAGACAGCCAACATGTTAAAAAAAAAAACTTACTTGCTAGGCAAAAGGAGAGCTGAGTGCTAATTCTTTTCTCCAAACTCTTGGTGTTTCCTTCTCTTGGAGCAACAATGTCTAATTTTTCAATAAGAAGTACACATGGGGATAGAGAGACTGCCTGGTCAAATATTTCATTGATCCTCTCTTCACTTTCTCCAGAGACTCTCCCACAAATTCAGTTGCTGTAATCCGAAGAATGGGACACGCTGCTGTCTGTACAATATTTTAAAAAAAATCACGTATTATTATTATATGTGATATATGAAAAAAGTATTAAGCTTGTAAAGGTCAGTCAGAGAGTGCATGGAAAATAGGAGGTACAGTGGAACTTCGGTTTTCAAATTAAATTCGGCAACCAAAATCAATGACAACCAAAGCAATTTTTCCCATAAAGAATAATGTAAATGAAATTAATCCATTCAAGACCCCAAATGACAATATAATAATACATTAACCCTTTAAACTGTCCAAACGTAGATCTACGTTTGCACGCGTAGTGCTCTGACCTTGATTTTCTCTACAAGAATGTAAAAAAAAAAACATAGATCTACGTTCGGAGCGCCACGTGAGCAAACATAGATCTACATTTGGACAGTTTAAGGGTTAATAATGTACATACTAACTACACATTACATAACACAATGTATAAAATTATACAGCTCAGGGAAACTGTAAAATGAATACTAAATAAAAATTTAACTGAAATACTGTACAGTAAATGAAAATTTAACTGCCCCTTACCTGTCAGATGAGAGCTAATGCCATACTGGAAGCAGGAGGTGGAGGAGAGGAGGGGATGTGGCACCACTTACACCTTGATCTGGCTCACTGTTTCTTTGTCTCACTAAAAACCTGTCCAGTGAGGTTTGTTTCAGGCTCCATTTTAACACTTGACTAAATTGAGACATTACAGTGTCACTGTACATGTTAGACTGACAGATGGCCACTGCTTTGTCTGGATGGTATTTTTCAGCAAACTCCTTCACTTCATGCCATTTAGCACACATTTCCTTGACAAGTGCAATGGGCACTTCATCCCTTCCCTCCTCTTCCTTTGATGACAGCTCCTCTGCTGCAAACTGTTGCTGCTCCTTCTGAAGGTCTACAAATTATTCTGTGGTGAGTTCGGTTCTATGCTCCTTCACCAACTCCTCCATATCATCTTCAGTCACCTCTAGGCCCAAGGCCATCCCCGGGGACACAATATCCTCTACTAGCTCAGGCTCATCTTCAAGGCTTTCAAAATCCCTGGCTGCCACAAAGTCAGGCCACAATTCCAGGACCATGCTGACTGCATGGTCCTGGAAGACACATTCCCCTTTGTCCTGTTCCATACACATGAAAACTTATCTGTCAACAACCAAAAGAACGCACAAAAACCAGAACATTTTTTCTAGAACACTTCATTCAAAAACCGATTTATTTGACAAGTAATGCAATCGACAACCAAGGTTCCACTGTAATTGGGTTTGAGCCAAGGAAGGGGAGGGTAGCTCTAATTCCTCAGATCAAACTCATCACATCACCCTTAAAGGAAAACAATAAAATCCAGCCTCTCCTCACTTAACAACAGAGTTCCGTTCCTAAGGACCATGTCGGTAAAACGAATTCGTCACTAAGTGACTTTGTTTACATTAAAGAAAATGGGATATTTTCCTCTATCAAAGAAGTGGGCCCCATGTAAAATTTTCTTCAAATACATCTAAAAAACTATCCATATTTTGCAACTCTGTGATTAAGAATTTGGGAACACAATGATTAAATTTTT